GCAGCAGAATGTGTAAGAGTTTGAGTGTGGGGTGTCAGGTGTCTGGTGATCGTTTGCTGCTGCTGCAGCAGCAGCAGCAGCAGCAGCAGCAGCAGCAGACATCAATCCGTTGGTTTTTATCTCCTTCTGGCTTTCAGCCACACTATGTAGGAGCTAGATGTCTCGGTATAGCTATGCTGCAGCAAACACCGCTGCAGCAGCAGCTTGCTGCTGCTGCTGCTCTCCCCTTTCAGGCCCTAGAACACTGTCTCTCTTTCCCCCCCAACGCTCACCTAAGGAGGGGGTTGCAGCGTGTGTCTGCTGCTCTTGATTTATCTGTGGAGGTGGCTGAGTTGCGGCAGACGAATGCTGCTGCTGCTGCTGCTGCAGCAGCACGTGCTGCAGCAGCAGCATCCAGAGCACTAGGAGAGAAACCCCCAGACGGTGAAGCAGCAGCAGCAGCAGCAGCAGCAGCAGGGGGAGAGGGGCCCCTACTCAGAGGGTATCTGCAGCTGGAGCGGCTGCTGCGGAGAGCCAGACACATCATACACCAGCTGAAGGCCCCGCCAGAGGTGCTGCACGACCTACATAACTTTTGTAAAGGGGGTGGGGTTGAACCTTCTGCTGCTGCTGCTGCTGCTGCTGCTGCTGCTGCTGCAGCAGCAGCAGCAGGAACAGGAACAGGAACAGGGGGAGGAGGAGCAGCAGCAGCAGCAGGAGCAGCAGGAGCAGCAGACAGCAGAGGTATTGGTGGTGGTGCTGGTAGTTCTGGTTCTGCTGCTGCTGCTGCTGCTGCTGCTGCTGTGTCTGCTGATGCTTGTCTTCGGCTGCTGATGCTGCAAGACACACAGAAGCTGTGGCTCGGGGTGCTGTCTGTGTGGGCCTCTCTCTTCTCCCCCCCGGTCGTCCTCGCCCTACAAAGAGCCAAAGTTAAACACTCCACTGTAAGAATAAAAATTCTGCTGCTGCTGCTGCTGTTGCTGGTGCTGCTGCTGCTGTTGCTGNTGCTGCTGTTGCTGCTGCTGCTGCTGTTGCTGCTGCTGCTGTTGCTGCTGTTGCTGCTGCTGTTGCTGCTCTTTGATCATACTCCTCTTTCACCTGCTGCTCCCTGCTGCTACTGTTTCTGATGTCGGCCATATTTCTCGTGCTGCTGTGTCTGTGTCTGCTGCTGCTGCTGCTGCTGTTGTTGCTGCTGCTGCTGCTGCTGCAGGTGCGTGTTGCAGTACTAATCCAACTGGTGAAGAGCAGCAGCAACTCCGTGTCCTTTTTGTGTCGTTCTTCGGCTCCTCTGCCTCCTTGTGAGCCCTTTACCAGCAGCAGCAACAACAGCAGCAGCAGCAGATAGAGGGCATCCTGCAGCAGCAGTTCGGTTTGCCTGTCCTGACGATACAAACCC